GGCCCTTAACTGCAGAGCTAGGCTTGCTGACCTCTGAGCTAGAGTTGGGCCCCTTTGGGCTGAGGCTTATAGTACAGTGGAGTGCTGTTTGGGCTTTGTAACAAAGCAGACGCCAGACTAAGGACTTAAGGCCTAGCTTGTGGGCACGGCAGAGGAAAGGCTGGAAGAACTATACCTTGAACATTTCACACCCTAAATTGTAGCCTGTTAATTTCCCTAATAAACTTTGAGCATGGTGTCTGGATTGTGTGGCCATTGTAATGAATTATTGGACCCAGATGAGACGTTGACAGTGCTGTGGGAGGAACAGCAGATGTGAAGAGTGTATAAAGAAGGTTAGATGGCGGAGCATGTCTGATCTCTACCTCATAGGAACCAGCCTCGCGGTGATCCTGCTAAAAGAAATAGTTTCTGAAACTGCCAACTAATAAATGTAGAAGAAATGATGGAGTCAGACATGATGCAATCAATTTTCTCCACTAGAAAAATTTGGACTCAGATAAGAATCTTTGGTGGATGCTGTTAAGAGAGGACTAGTGTCCCTCTATAAGATACCCCTGCTACTGCTGAACCTGACCTGGTTTCAAAGATGTTATTAGTTAGGTTAGCATGAGGTGGTATTGGAGTAGAGTGGGTCCTATTCTAATATGACGTGTCCTTATAGAAGAGGCAGGGAAGATGCAGGCATCAGACTCTGGGAGAAGACACCCATGTATGGCAGAGGCTGTGTCTGGAGGGCTGCAGCCATGTTCAGGGACCCCTGGCCTCCAAAGCTGGAAGGGTCCTCCCCTAGCTGAGGGAAAACTCCTGCTGACACTCGAAATTTGGACTCAGCCTCAGAATCGTGAGAGAGTAAAAATTCTCTTGTTTGAAGCCCCCCAGTGTTGCTTTGTTGCATCAGCTCAAGGTGCTAAAACTGAGGAGGGGGTTCTTGGTGAGGAAGGGGGTTCTAGCAAAGTTGCAGTTGTGAAGTGCCATCGAGTCGGTTCCGACCCATAGCGACCCTGTATAGGGTTTCTGAGGAGTGGCTGGTGAGCTTGAACCGCCGATCTTGCAGTTCAAACCGGCTTTGCAGTCTAGCGCATTAACCCACAGTGCCACACCGGGACCCCTATCTCCCTCCAAATGTGTATTGATTTACAAAGGGAAAATGTCAACTATATATGGAAAAAAATAACCTTGTCAGAAGCCACCTTAGCCAAGCAATCAAAGTTACCATCTCTTTGATGGGACAAAAGGCCTCCTGTGCCTTCTGGTGAGATGCCCTGGGAAGGACACAAATTGCTCTAGCATCTGCCTGAGACTCATATTCCATCCTGTGCAGCGAACACACCACTCTGCAACACACTGAGACAGAATTCCAAACTAGAGGTGACTAATGCCTTGGTGTGGTACTGGACAATAAGCACTGGACTGCTAACACGAGATTAGCACTTCAAACCTGTCATCTGCTCTTGGAAACCCTACAACAACAACAACACAACAATTTGATCCTGGGTCAGATTTTTTTTTTTTTTTTT